TTTCCAGTTCGCGCAGTCATCTCTGAATGTTATCCAATAGACTTCAACCTATCCCGGAAGACGGACAACATAGAAGCGAAGGTGACAATTCCGGCCAGCCCTCCGTCCTCTTCAATGACCCATACATAGCCGACTCGGTGAGCTAAAGCTTGAATCATCACTGCAACCAAAGAGTTCCATGGATAACAGACAATAGCCTCTGACCTCCTCCCTACTCTCGCTGAATACCCACCAATCTTTCCACTTCTACCTGAACCAGAACCAAACTCATCATCTGAAGAAGAGCAGATTGAAGATGATGATGAAGAGGTTGTTGATGATTCTTCCTCGACCCACTCCAGAACAGCTTCTAAGTTTTTTTCCTCCAACCTTTCCTTCACTAATTGTACTAAATCATCCGGGGGGCCCCCACAGTCTATGTAAGCCATGAGTTCACCGGCGGTGAGCGTTGCTATTGCCGCCACTACCGTCTCGTCGCAGAAATTGAGCGTGAAGGGCGAAATTTCGCCAATCAAGTTGTCGTCCAAGTCAACAATGGCGACAGAGGATTGGTGAATGAGCGCTTGAGAGATTAGGGGCAGAATAGACAACGCAGACTCGTCGTAGTGGACGGCGAGGACGTTGTTGGTGTCGATTATGTTGAAGGAATTGATAGGGCTGGCTGCGGCATGGCTGAAAAGTCCGATGGAGTTAAGGAGGTAGCGGATTATGTCCTCCGGAGCGAGCCAGCAATATTCTCGGTCGTTATGGAGGGAGGAGATGGAGGATGCCTTCTTAAGGAAGTTTTTCCTCTTGCTCGTGCTCGATTTGATTGGGATAACAAGGTTATGTGCTCCATCGAGTATAAGATCGATCGCCTCCATTAAGCTGAAAATTGCGAAGAAGAAACGTTAACAATCTATCACAGAGCAGCCGTAATTTGTAATTTATGAACAATCGTTTATCATCAGCAATGTAAATTAGATTCAGATTTTCAAGCATATTTTAAGATTCAAACCTGGAATGAGGTTCCAAATGCCTAACGAGTCCAACGTCCTCATGAATCAAACCAGAGATCGGAGATCGAAGCGCAGTCGCCGGTTGCAACAAATTCTCTTGTCTGCAGAGAAAACAGATTATATCCACCATGCATACTTTACCAACGCATCGGCAATGTAATTCCGAATTGGCCTTAGAGGAGTGATCGCCACAGCTCCACACGCTGATGTAGCCCTCGTCAATCCTCGTCAAGACCGATAGCGCGTCGGCGACGGTGGCGGAGATGGATATCGATCGAAGCGCAGGTTTTCCAAGGCATAGGTCGGATACCTCGCGGGCTAACAAGCTTACTGCCATGCACGAGCGATTCAGATCTCAGAAATAAGAATCTGACGCAGAGAAGAAAAGCAAGAGAAATTGAATGAGAATCGAAGATGAAGAAAGAGAGCGATCGACGAAGGTACAGAAATGGCGGTTCTGATACAGAGGGAGAAATTCGGGTCGGGTCGAAGGAAGGCAGAGACGGGCGGATCTTCAAATTGAGGGAATTGTTCAATTTATAGGGCGTGGTTTGTGGGTTGTTCGAAAGGTCGCGCACGCGTTTTTGGTTTATCTTTTTTGATCGTTTCAATTCATATAAAGGACAATTCTAAAAAGTAAAAAATAAAGAAATAATTACTTCACTTAAAAATTAAAATTAAAAAATTAAAAACTCCGTCTTTACTAAAATATATGGTTAATTATCTGGAGGTTTCTTGCAAATTAATTCAGCAGTTTTATTTTCCTTTAATAGCTTATTTTTTTTCCTTTTTAATTATAATTTGCCACTTTCCATTCCACGTTTCGGGTAAATTCTTGTTTGGGTGGCGCCTAATGTTGTTGAAATAAAATTTATTTGAAATAATTTCATATTTTTAGTATTTATTTGACTGATTGAGTTAAATTTATTTTTTTAATTTCATCAAACTAAAATTTTTGGTTCCATAAAATTAGTAATATCTATTGGGCCGCCACGTCGCGACGCAACCAACTCCAGGATTCACAGTGAAGTAAAACCATACCTCGAGAATGTTCCTTAATGACCAACCACGTCCACGTCAGGTATCCTCCCTGGTTGACTCCATCACCAATAAAAGAGATAGGATCTCACCTCAATAGGTAAGTAAAAAATCTGTCACTCAATAGTCAGATCGTCGAAGGATCTTAGACAAGACATTACATCGAAATCGAGATATGCTGTTGCAAGTTGACTTGTCTAACGACTCCATCAAAGTGGACCAACCAAATTTCAATATTAACAATATCCATGATTTGTAGTTGAGTTTGTGACTCATTGTACTCTCACGACTTGTAAATTTTTTTGTAATTTTTATTAATCTAGTGAGTGTTTATTTTGTTTAAATTTGGGTATTCCAATTTTTATAAGGAATTAATTTTTTAATTGGGATTAAATGGGTGTGAAATTAGGCTTGGGCACGTTTGAATATAACTTCATTAAATAAGAGACATTTATTAGTTGATTTTTAGCTCTATTAGGTCCAGTTGGGTGATGTCAAAAACTTTAAAATTAAGGGCAACTAACATTATAATATGAGCCCAATAAGACCCCTTTTAAGTTTTAACTCAATAAAATTAGAAATGAATATTAGTTTAAACTTGTAATACTTGAATTTTGAAATGGAAAATAAAAAAGATGTTCAAGATTATTTATTGTTCCACTAAAAACTATAATAAGGAGTGTCTTTTTTTAAACCAAGATAAAAATGTTAATATTAATTTAACTCATTTAGTAGTCCAAATATACTAAATCAAATATAACTTAAAAGACAAGCCATGTATAATTTTAAAGGTCAATAATTCAATTATCTATTATCTCTAAATTAAATAAATTCTTCGACCAAAACTAAAATAACTTCTAAGAAAATAATATTTCAAAGAAAAAGCATGAGAAAAAAAAAAGTAGGGTACTAATCCGTGTGTATTATTTAATGATAACGAAATCTACATTATCCGATTGCAAAAAAAGAAAGAAATCTACAAAATCTTTTATTTTAATTGAAAGGATATGTGGTATAATAATGTTATTATAATAACCAAACTAACAAACAGAGAATTTTGAGAAGCCCGTGGGTTCACATCGCAGGCTCAGATTGACTCTGAAAAAAGTGCAATCTGATAAAAGTGGCCGCGTCAGCATTATCGTGAGTAGCACCACAGGGAAAATGAGGTCACGGTTCATTCCCAAATTGTAACGCGTACATACCGTGTATGGAAATTGATCACTGGAATTTGGATATACTCTCATTTATACTCTATTTGTATGGTTGTAGTTTTAGATTAATATGGATAGCCAAATTAAATATAGTTCAACGATAATTGACATGTAACTCAAACCATGAGGTTGTGAGTTCGATCCCCCACCCCATCTCACATGGTGTACTAAAAAAAAAAGAAAAAAAGATTAGTGTGGATTCTGTTGGTATAAGTTTATGATTAATTGATAATCTATGCTCAAATTTGCATGTTATAATGTTACTTACATCTTCCAATCGTATATGAATATCATTCTTCCTACTCAGTCTAGTCTGAAAATTGATCTGACCAAGACTGATGAGCCAAAAGAGCCATGATCTTGAAGGAGCATTTTAAGAATCCCAAATTGGAAAGAAAAATAATTTTACGATAGTTTATAATAAACATAAACTATTCCAATGGAGGATGAGAATTCGAACCTCTGACTTTCTTTATTGAAGATATTTACCTCTTAGATTGACAAATATAGTCCTCGTCCAAGTGAAAATTGCAATCTTAAATCTTTATATTCAGGTTGACAATTACATTATTATTTTCTGTTAATAATGCTTTTTTTTCCTATTTTGCTACCAAAATATGTTTAAGAATTTTTTTTTTCCTACTTATATATTCAAGTCCTCTTTACTTTTACAGTTGTAAACTATCCTCAACACTTCCATACCCAGAAGTAGGAAATTAATTAAATAACCTTACTTCAGACAGAAGAAAAAAACAAACAAAATAGTTATAGATTGATGAGCTATATTTTATGTAAATTCTGATTAAGATCAGATTGCATGATAATCATTTAATGCAATGATTGCAACCCAACAATTACAAGAGTGCCACGAAATTAAAACGTATTGGTCAACAGTCATAATCATAATGAAACAATAATCAATGATTGGTTGATACAAATCCATTTGCTGAAGCTGAATTAAGTCAAAATTAGAAATGTGCCCCACTGCCTGTGCCTGCAACTTAAAAAAGAGAATTATTTGGTACGGTACGGCTATATGAACCATATCCGTCTCTTCATAACAAGGAAGGGTCATTTCAATTTTTGTCACCATTTCACTCCTATTCCTCTTTCCCATTTGAAAAAACAAAACCAAGGAGGGCTTCAAGTTAGACAGAATATTACTACCAGTTGCTTCTTTCTGACAACAAGGAACAATTATCTTTGTCAAAATCTACCAAAGAATGAGAATGAAGTAACATAGCATCTGATAAGAGCATCTCTACTGGTGGCGAATGAGTGTCGGCCTTGATCGTTGGTTCCACGAGGTAATTGAATTCCGGGAATGATGCAGATCATGGGATGTTTACTTCTCAGTGCGCGCCTTAGACAATGCAGGAAGTGAACCGAGTCTCTATAATTGTGAATCAGTTGAGCTGAGATGTCATTCCAAATCGACATAAATCTGCAACCAAAAATAGATTTCATTTCATGCTAGAGTTTGACAGTGTTATAGTTTAAACAGCGTTCCTCAAACAAAATGAGGAAATGAATCCTACAAGGTTGAATCACCACAATATTAAGCAGCAGTAATCCCACATACATATGAAATTTCAGCACATGCAAGAGGATCTAAGCATTATCTAATGATGAAATGATCCAGAGGTCCACCCAAAGAAGCATGAATATGGTGGCAAGGCATTTCCTAAAAAGCATAAAAACAAGAACAAGGATAGGAGATGTACAGTAATATATATCTTTGAAATTTATTTTATATACTTCTGCGCATATTATTTATGCTTTGGAAACATAATGAAATTATGTGATATAAAGATTTAAACATATACTTCTTAAGTTCTACTCTTATCAATTTGATCTATAAGCAAATTTAAATGTCATAAAATAAATCCCAATTCTTTAAGGATGTGAGATTTTAATAAACGGCAGAATAAATTCTAGTGTCCCACAAAATAAAAGATATCTCCTAAATAAAACGGACTTGCAACTCAAACATCATTATTTTCACATAATCCCGTACCACTTCAATGAGCTTTATCAAGTGAAACTTATCTATTTTCCTTTATTTTGTTTCAATAACTTTTTATGTTTTGTGGTTTTATTTATTTTTTAGATCCGTTAGTGTAAATAGTTCTAGAAGTGATTAAAGAACTATATTTTCTTAATTTCTTTCCTCGTTGTCTCTACTCAATATGTTCCCCACGTGTCTTAAGTGTGCTTAAATATCCCCAATCCCCCTGCGTGTCCCCCTCTGCAGGTCCAAAATTAATAAAATAAAATGGACACTCAACAATATAATGTTTTCTCAACAAATGTCCAACACCGACACTAGTCAAATAGTATCCATGCTTCCTATTTGACATATAATGCAATTCACTCGGTCTCTTTTACCAAATGAAGGCAATTTCTCAACGTGGTACACCTAACCTTGAATTTGCAAATGTGCCCAAACAAGATTTCTTACATTCACGTGAAAGGCATTCAAAATAACGCTATCAAATAATTAAGAGAATTTAAACCTCTAGATCTGACAAAGGGTAGTCATATGCTTTCTTCTCTCTTGTGTCAAAGACTTTCATGCCTGCGATTCTCTGGACTCCGGGTTTAGTGGCAATGAGGTTCTGGTCGAACAAAGGCAGAAGTCAGATGGTGTCAATAACATGGGGAGTTTCAAGCTTTCTCCTCTCAAAGACACCATTTTTAATGTATGGCTTTCACATTTACTTGATCAAAAAAGAAGAGAACAAGTTACATGTTGTAATTAGAGCTAATGCTAGTTATGATGTACAATAGTGGACTACAACATCAACATGGCAGGACAAAAATATCAACTTTTTTCGCAATGGAATTTCTAAGAAAAAATTGCACGACCAAAGAAAAATACAAAAGGTAGTGTGCACTACACGTCATCAAAACAAGGTCAGAAGCTCACAAGCTACAGTGGAATGGCATAAGGCTATAGTTTGTTTCTATCTCAGCATATTTGCTTTGAACGGTTATATTCTACACATGCATAGATTTGCATAATAAATGAAGAAAACCGTGAACTAATAAAACTAAATCACTTGCAGACTAACTCGTATAACAATTCTTCATATAAATTTGTTATTCATACCAGGTGGAAATCTGTGGAACCATATGGCTCGACTCTTGGTATGACCTGTTGAAAATTTCATGTAAGAAAATCAGAAACATATTTAAAAAATGGATGAATAAATATGTGATACGGAATTCTGGTGTCAACATGTCATCCCTCATCATGCCACAATAGTAAGGAAAAAAAATGAGACAGTATTGATGCAATGCGAAAGTTCCCCTATTTTAGAAACAAAATTCAATACGGAAAAAAAAAACAATTACGTTAGTGGCAAATGTATTGATTTAAGCACACCAAAAAAATTATAGCAGTTTCCAACATACGAATAATCAGAAATGATGAATTCTAATAAAAGGATACAATTTTTCGACTGGATGAATGACAAACATACCATTGTCTGTAGACCATTAACCATGACAACTTTCTCCTCATCTGGACCATTTTGTGTCATCCACACATCAAAAGGGCCCAATTCCCTCTCTATCTGAGTTGTGAGACGCATACGTAACTGGAGAAGCAATGGTTCAATCAATTCCAAAGTATTTCTCTCTTGGAAAAGAGATAGTAAAATATGTATCCTCAAGAAATTAAGTGGGACAGCTAAAGATGGGATAGTTGGTCGTAATCACTTCCAACCACCGCTGGAGAATGAGTATTAAATTACTATTGGCCTTTTTAGATGAACTTTTCATGAGAACACAATAACAAAAGAGGAATTACTGTAAAAGGCCTCTCCAATCTGATAACATCTGGCATCTCAACAACATGCAACTCAAGCTCCTTGCGAGTAACGTGCTGCAAAACAATATATACAGCCAATAACGGCTAATAAATCTGCAAATCATTCATACAAGGTACAAAGTACCAAACCACAGCATCGATAAAACATATCATATATATACTCAGACTAACAATATAACATACACTTAACAGATGATGTCAACGTCAATTTATTGTGCATTAGAATTTAAAAATGATGAAAGTTAAAATTTTCCAGTCTTTCATTATTTATAGAAAAAACGTTTTCCACTGTCACCTTACTATTAACTACGTTCCAAAATGATTAAAACAAGACTCACAATCATCCATGCGCTGTCAACCATATCTCAGGATCCATCTGAGGCATTTGACAGGGTAACAAAAGTGTAAAGATCCAAGCCAGGTTTTACAAAAATATATGAAATTTTTTATATCAAGTGATAAGACAGCCATAAGTAAAATTTCATACATTGCAAAGAAATGAATCTACTCACCCATGGAAATCGTTTCCACAAGATACAGAAAGGATACCAGGATTTTAACATAGTCTAAAACTTAACATTCCATGCACAATCTAACTGAAATATCATCGCAGGAGCAGAAAAGATTTTAACAGCCACATGAAACTACTAGTCTATCATCTTCCTAAAATCATTTCAAATCCAATCTTTCAGCTGAGAAATACTCAAATGTTCATTTTCAACCATAGGCCATCAGTCATCAATTGACCATATTAAGATAAGTCTCCTGCAGAACCCGAGAGGTTGGGTAACCAATAACCAATCAACAAAAGTTCCATATAGATGATTTTCTTTTTAAATTATTCTATGATAATAAGACACTCACAGAACCCAAAATCTGTTGTGTTTGTAGCCGTCCAGGTTCACCCATATTTGTACGCCACGTTATCTGAAGTTTACCGAGAATATTACTTCCCTCAACTTTCAGCGGGGAAGAAGGACCATGTGTTGACAATTTCAATTGATAAAGAAAATTATGGATTCCTCCACCTGACCTGACCAATATAGGGGGCTTGAATACCTCTCTGCCAGCATAAAAAACTTGATAATGAGGGGAAAATGAATAACAAAAAACTCAAACCACGAAATGATAAATTTATGGGCATGAATTAGCACGATCATCAATTTTTTAATACCAGTGAATTGACATATGATCCATACCTTGTAGTAGGTTTATGTTCATCAGAATTTATTATCACTGCATTCCAGTTTGGAGAAGGCTCAAAGTCAACTTGGTCCATAAATAGATTTGATTTTGTATGATTTTCAATGCAAGCTTCTAAGTATGTACTATCCTGAGATAGAAAGTAAACTATCATATGATAGCTTTTAGCAAGGAAGTGCTATCTTTATAAAACTTTCAAACACAGAAAAACTAGAAATCAGAAAGAACAATGGCATAATTTACCACCATTAATACTTTATACAACAAAGATCTAGAATCTAGCACTTATTTAGTTCCCTTGGGGAGGGTTTTCTTGACCCTCCGCCTCTAGGTTGTTCTCTTGCCTCTTTTGTTGGGCTCCTTTTGATATGGAATACAATGTTTATGTTTCTTATAAAAGAAAAATACAACAAAAATCTAAAATCTAGCATAACTATAAAAATCATAACTTAAAATACAACACAAGTCGTCCAACAAAAAATTAATAAATGATATGAAATATATACAAACAATTCCTCCTCACTTGACTTATCATTTAACTTAAACCACAAACTATACAAAAAGACAAAAACCTGCCGAAAAATGAAACCAACATCAGCCACAAATTACCATTTATTTTAGTGTGAATGATGAGGAAAGAAGAACGAGTGTTCAGAGTACTGAGAAAAAACGGATTTCTTTTTTGATGTAAAACAATGTGCTCAAATCGAATTCAAGGATTTGATGCTACGGTATTTAAAAGCAATGTATATAATTTAACTACAACACTTATGAGACATTTTCTAAACTTACATTGACTGCTTTTAGTCAGAAAAACATACCTTCACCACGCGGACCTGCAGATGAAGTAGTTGAAAGAATATCAGGTCTTTCATTCAAAACCAAGAAAAAAGCAACTAAAGCCACTGAAAGCTTTCAAAGAAATTCACCAAAGCTAAAAAATGGCCACTGATTTTTTAGAAAGAAAGCAAAGACGTATCTAAAATAATAGCCGTATGTCATAATTGTAGGATCCGAAGAGCACATTACCTTTGTTCTGACCGAAAGTGGATTTGCAACCATGAACTTGAAAAACTGTGGAAGATATTTACGTTCACCATCGCCATCATTGTACAATGCAGTGCACACTAACCTACAATAACGAGATGAAGCATCATCACATATGCGTATTTAATCAACAAAGAGGTCAATTAGCAGACATAGTCGCCAACATTCAAGATGAAATTGAAGCTTACGTGTGAGCTCCAAGTTCCTTCACATCGTGTTCGACAATGAAGTCATAACGGCCCCCAGCACGAATTGTTTCGACAGGGGATTTTGATGAATCCAAAAGAAGAATCCTCTGCCTCTCCGTTTGAATTTCTGCCTGTACAGAAAGTTCTAAACTAAACTCCCCGTAAACCATAAATCAGAGTGAATGAAGCAGAACCCAAATTCTAAAACTTAAAAGAAAACACTCCCACTGCCGGTGACCTTGATTATAACGTCCCTGACTTCAAAATTGGAGCTATTGTTCACACTGATATAGCTACAGAAAGTCTCGCCCAAGTAAATCGCCCTGGAAGACGGTCACCGTTCATACGCCCAAAAATTAAAGAAAGAAACATACAGATTAGTCCATCCATTGAATGAAAGAAGAGAGGGGTAAAGAAATAGAGAGAGACCCGAATGCTTGGGGGAGTACGAGGAGGCCAGTGAGGCCCATAGCATCAGAGAAGTCATGAAGAAGGAATCTGGAACTATAGCTGAGATCGGAGTCGGAATTATCGGACAACTGAGCTTCTAAGAGACGGGGGAGTTGGTTGGCGGCCTCTGGATCGTCAAAGATGTCCTCGCCGACAACTAAATCGACCGGATCGAGGCGGAGAGGAGGTTCGACTTGAAATGACGGCCTACAAAGCCTCATGACCCTGAAGGCGAGTGAGTGCGATCCCTGGGAACCGCTCATCTTGCTCGTTTTCTCTCACAAACACAGAATTGCAGAGACCGCGAAGAACAGGAGGAGGCAGATGAAGAAGTTGGTTCAGATAAAACTTGCAAATATGTGATTTTCTAAAACTAATTATAAATTTTCCTATAAAAAACGAAAAACGAAACAAAACTCATTATAAATATGTCATTTTTTAAAAATTAATTCCAAATATAGCATTCTTTTTAAACCTAGTAAATCTACGGTTAGCTTAAATAATAGTAGTTCAAGATTCAACCTTCTTCGAAAAATAAATAATGATTCAACCATAATTTTAATATATGATTAATGAATCATTTATTTGAGCTATAAGCATAGCTCAACAGGACATCTATAATCTTCCTCAAAGTTGAAAATTTTCATATTTTCATTTTGCAGATCAACTATGTTAGAGATACAATTTATCTTCCTCGATTGAAAGTCTTCATATTTTCATTTGGGTTGGATTACAATTTCCACTCCATATTATTTATTATATATCATATTTGAAGCTTAAGGAATTCAATTAAATTTCTATAAAAATGAAAAACCCCTTCAAACATCTTGCAAAAACCTCTAAATACTCGTCCAATAAAAACAAATTTACATTAACAGTAAATCTATAATTTTTTTTTAGAGTAGAAATTTGAACTCATTAAAAATAAGTGTTTTGACCAACCGAACTATGCTTAAATTAGATATCAATATTTCATCATAAATTCAAATCTCTTCCAAAGAACTAAATTTATTCTTATGTTAGAAGAATACGTTATGTTTAATTAAAATGTGTTCCTTTTGAGCAGAATAGCTCTAGAGAATTTTTCAAAAAAGAATCAAAAGGCATAACCAAAGATATATGTTCAAAAATTCTGGTTAGAGAATTGCTTCTCCTTGCAAGCTTGCAGCCACAATCTTAAGATAACATACCCTCCCCTCAAGCCCATCAAATGCGACCTCTATAAACTACCTGTGGTCTTAGTCTATATTAGGAAAAAACAAATTTTAGAAAACTTCGTTGGTTCCTACTTTCTCCATTCGTCTCTCTCATTGGGCATACTGTTCTGCGCAAATACTTTTTGCAGAGTGTCCACTTTTTACACGAGTCATGAATAATAATATCAATTGTACAGCTGCAATGTGCAATCTAGGAGCCTTTAGGCTTCCATAATCTATCTCCATTCTCAACTCTATAAAACAATGATCTACCATGTACAAAACTATATAATTCAAGGAAGATGAAGATGAAGATCTACCCTGTACATTTGTCCAATCATGTCCTAATGCCAAGAACGAAATCCTCTGCATGCCCCGCTGCCCACTCTGATGGCAATGAATCTAATAAATATTTTCAACGAAATAACAAAAATTTGCTTGCGTTCTAATCTGGACATCCTTCTCATTATTTGTCACTGTACTGCGCTTTTTTATGTAGGAGTGACACTCGTCGAGCTTCCCACGCAAGAGAATCTCCGGCCTGTAATTAAGAGGTACCTGAAAGGTTGAAGGCCATAAATCACAACATCATACCAGTACAAAATAAAGGGTGGAGGATAAAAAAGGCAAGAATCTGTAAGTGCATCTTCTACAGTTGGTCATTTCTTAGTAATCATAAAATTTTTCATTTGTTCTACAAAGCGGGTTGGCCAGAGAAAACAGAGGGAATGGTAGGTCACGCACACCTCTAAATTGTGTGCGCCATTGGTACAAAAAAACACATTTAGAAGATACACTTAACTATTTCATTTATTTAAAAAAACAGAGCATTGAAGGAATACGGGCCTCCCTGCATCCATATGATTTCCATCTCATAAACTACCTAGCAAAACCGAGAACCATAACCATTCTGCCTCAATCTGCTTACCATGATAAAATAGAACTTACAGGACACGTTCAAATAATGAGGTTCTCTCTCTCTGTCTCTCTCTCTAATGACTATTAATTAGATACTTCATACTTTCCTTTCATTTATCTTCCGGAGTGGAATAAAGGGCTAGAGGACATACAAACTCGTAGCCTAATTTGAATCACAGCGTGGAAAGTTCGAAAAATAAATAGTGAAAAAAATAATTTCAAAACTAGAAAATTCAGAGAATAGAAGGATCGAGTAAAACATACCTTAAGGTGAGTTGGCAAATGCAGTGCCAAACAAGGTGAAGAGGCAGCCCATCCCCTAACTCGTGTAACTGTAGCCATATTCTGATGTAATTTTATGCCAAGTGTAACCGTACACAATTTGATTGCATGAACTTAACCCTTAGTTCAGCATTGAGGAAAAGATTTTGAAAATCTGATCAGATGTAGATGAGAGTCCGCAAAATGATAAATGACACAGCGAATATCACTGGATGGAAGTGAGCATTTGTGATCCTAAAAACAAAGCAGCACTTGTTGAAGCCAGGGCTGTATGTGGCAACTGGCAATGCATAACTATACAACTCGAACCCATGTTCCACCACACATTGGGCATCCATAAGCCCATCGGCTAATCCACCAAGTCTCCCTCTCGTTTTGAGTATTATCGTGAGCAGCACCAGGTGAAGCAAAGGCTGAAGTCTGCCTTAAGCATCTCATGCACTGCATGTCACAAAGTCACAAGATTCAGAATGCATACAACACAAATATCAGCAACGCATAGTCTGGAGAAATAGTCAAATCCCTCCAAATTTAGAGCAAGTAATACACCATCAACATGAGGCCACTAAAATCTAGAAGCATGTTGCAGTAAACTGATATAATTTCAAGGCAACTTATTGCCTTCTGCTTACTTAACACGTTGACGGAATTTGAATGGGTGGAATTAAAAAAGAAATATGTGGGTGATTTTGATAAAATTTTCTTAGTGTTCGACCTAACAATTACCTCTATGCTTTTAAAGAAAAATACTACTCTCTACACTAGAATCATTGAAATAAGTACGGGAAGAGTGTCAAGGAAACTACATATCGAACCTTATACCAAACCCCTTCAAGACCAGTCTTCCAGACAGCAGTCACAACATCTCTACGAGATCCCATTATACCTAGATATGCACCGAGGCCAATGGACGTATTCAAGCCAAAAGCAGCATCTCTTTCTGACATCCGGCGCTTCCTAGGCCACAGACCATTAGCTCCATAATAAACATTGCAATTCTCCAATGAGTTGAGATCAAGTGGGTCTGCCAAATTACTAAGTTTGGGAGTATCGTCTGTGGGACCCAGATCATCTACGTCAGACCAAGGCCCACCATACATATTTCGCCTGTGCCATTCTTCAGCTGGAGGATGGAGTTCTAATTCCCGGAGCAACAGACCAGCAGCATCTGCACCTCTAG